AATAAATTTTCCTAGTTGGTTTTGAGAGGTCCAGACGGGACATATTTTCATTTATAAATTCATATTTCAGTCTTCATTGACCTCTCTTTGGAAATTGTAAATTTCTGTGGCCTTTTATTTAGAGATTGAACACACTTGGATTTGTCAGCTTTGGACTTAAATCATTGCCACTGTCTTAATTTGGGTTGTGATTGTGTCTTACCTAGATTCTAATCTCAGCTTTCTAAGGTTTCTGCTACCATTGTCTCTTCATTCCGGAGTGCTACCAAATTCATAGCCTTAAAATACGTGTGTGATACATAACTCTAAAGAGAAGAATTGCCCTGGCTTTTATAATGCTTTATAGGATAGTGTTCTATAAAACATTATAATGCTTTCATTGTCTGGGCCTGTATGTTAGAAAGTATATTCTGCAGGGAATAGCATTAAATCCTAAAATATCAATGGCTCAAACAAGAAAGAAGTTAATTTCTATCTTACGTAGAAGAAGATCAGTGACCAGCAGGCCAGGGCTTATAGGATAGCTCCACAGTCTTCAACTCATTCTGTTGTGTTACTCTGCAGAGTAGTAAACACCCTTGACCTGTGACCTCTAGGACCAAGATGAGTGCTCACGGTCCAGCTATCAAATCCACATTTCAGCCAGCGGGATTGAGAAGAGGGAGATGGCTGGGCCTCTGCCCTGTAAGGATACTCCTGGAAGTCATTAACAACACACTTTCCCCTGCATCTTGTTGCCTAAAATGTAGACATGCAGGGATGTGGCTGAAGGAGGTGGCCTTTTAACTAGGCGGCAGTATGCCCAGCTAAAAATTGGAGTTCTTATTACCAGGAAAGAAGAGACTGGATAATTGGACAGTAACTAGTCCCTGCCACAAGGCCATTCTACCAGCCTTATTTCCCCCCTGTTCTAGTCCCTCCCCACCCAGCATTGTTTCCCCAACCTATTAGTAGTTACAGTAAATCTTTTACTGGGCCTTTACCATGACAAGCCCACTCACAGATCTAGGCCTTTCAGAAGTTCTGGCCTTTGTCTGGAATGGCCTTTAACTTCCTTATTTGTCTTTGAAACATCTATATCTAATATATCCTTCAAGCCCCAAGTCACTTCCTCAGTGAATTTTCTTCATTAACAGTGACAGACCATTACACCTTACTTGTGCATATAGCAGTGTGGTGCACTGGAAGAGTTTCACGGATTTAGTAGTTGAATGGACTTGGGTTTGCGTATCCTCTCTCCAGCTTGGGCTGGAAAGTTTCCTAGTATATGAATTTTATGTAAAGCCACAGCCCAGGTCTGTCTTCTGAGTTCCAGACCTTCATTTTGAACTGCTTACTCAGTTTCTTCACTTGAAGTTCTCATAGGTGGCCTCTCCAATAGAACCACCTCCGAAAAGAATTAGTGCTCTTTACCCCTTCCTCTAGTCTTTCCTGTGCCATAAGTGATGCCACTATCAACGTAGTTGCTGGTGTCAGAAATCTGAAAATAATCCTTGATTTATTTAATAATCCTTAAGCTCTCCTAGGTAACTATCACTAAGTCTATCAGTTCAACTCCAAAATATGTCTTAGTTCTATCTCCAATACCTGCATCACAGCTCCATCCTCTCATGTCTAGACTATTGCAGTAGCTTTTTTTTTTTTTTGAGACGGAGTTTCGCTCTTGTTACCCAGGCTGGAGTGCAATGGCGCGATCTCGGCTCACCGCAACCTCCGCCTCCTGGGTTCAGGCAATTCTCCCGCCTCAGCCTCCTGAGTAGCTGGGACTACAGGCACGAGCCACCATGCCCAGCTAATTTTTTGTAGTTTTAGTAGAGACAGGGTTTCACCATGTTGACCAGGATGGTCTTGATCTCTTGACCTCGTGATCCACCCGCCTCGGCCTCCCAAAGTGCTGGGATTACAGGCGTGAGCCACCGTGCAATAGCTTTTAACTGGTCTCCCTACACCAACTCTTTGCCTGCTCTTATCTTGCCCTGGGCAATGTCACGCTCTTGCACAGAATCCTTACCTATCTTCCCATTGTACTAACATTCTGGCTTTTTATATTCTGCAAGGCCCACCCCTGACTTGGCACCCATCTACCTCTCATTCTCATCTCTAGCCATGCCTGTTCTTGTTCACTGTGTTCCGGCTGTGCCTCATGGTTGTCTTTCTGGTCCTTGATTATGTGAAGAAATTCCTGCTTTTGCCCTTTACTGTGTGCCGTTCCTATCCTGGGAGTCTCATTCTCCTCTTCACTCCTGTATACACCGTCTTCATGTCTCAGTGTAAATTCTTTCCCTGATCTCTTACATAAATCATATGTCCTTTCCCCCATCTTTTTGGGATTGTTCTTTCCTTCTCAGCATTTATTACGGTTTATATTTTATATTTTTGAAGCAGGGTCTCACTCTGTCGCCAAGGCTGGAGTGCAGTGGAATGATCCTGACTCATTGCAGCCTCTACCGCCTGGGCTCAAGTGATTCTCCCACCTCAACCTCCCAAGTAGCTGGGACCACAGTTGTATACCACCACACCTGCCAATTTTTTTTGTATTTTTTGTAGAGACAGGGTTTCGTCATGTTGCTCAGGCTGGCCTTGAACTCCTGGGTTGAAGTGATCCTCCCACTTCAGCCTCCCAAAGTGCTGGTATTACTGCCGTGAGCCACTTGCCCAGCCTATAATTGTATATTTATTCAGTGATAATTTTACAATATTCCCTCATTAGTCTATATGTTTCATAAGGACTGGGATCATATTTCTTTCACTTAACACTGAATCCTCAATGTCCAGTGTTCAATAAATACGCATGGAATAAGTAATAAATGATTTTGTAATTAAACAATGTAGTAAATTCTCATTAAATTGACAACTTTGCTTTTTTTTTTTTTTTGAGACAGGTTCTTGCTTTTTTGCCCAGGCTGTAGTGCAGTGGCTCAGTCCCGGCTCACTGCAGCCTTGAATTCCCAGGCTCAGGTGATCTTCCTTCCTCAGCCTCCTGAGTAGCTCGGACTATAGGCAAGCACTGCCATGCCCAACTAAATTTTGTATTTTTAGTAAAGACAGGGTTTTGCCATGTTGCCCAGACTGGTCTTTAACTCCTAGGCTCTAGTGATCTTTCTGCCTTGGCCTCCCAAAGCACTGGGATTACAGGCATATGCCACCCCAAACCAGCCTACAACTTTACTATTCAGTGTGGCAAGACATGGTTGTTGGAAATGTATGAAGGTGATTCACCTATACAGCCTGGCATTGTGTTTCTTTATGTGCATTGACCATTATGTATGATTCTCACCTGTAAGGCAACAAACCTTGGTTTCATTTATTAGAATGTAACTTTAGCCTCATTTCTGCCAAGATATCCTTTTGAATGTAGAACCTGAAAAGGTCTAATACCTGAAAATCATGATTGGGCCCACTTCCATGGCTTGCCCTCTCTCTTTAGATGTAATTTGGTATAATGTTTTGAACATTTGACTTGCTGTTGTTGGGATGGAATCTGAGGTAACAGTCATTTTAAATGGAGCCATCTTAAATGATCACTTAATGATCACTTTCAGTGATCATCACAGAAAGCTGTTTGCCCAGGATTTAGGCTGCCTTGGAAGAACCAGTCCTCTCACTGCACTGTCTTGATTGCCAGCTTTTGAGACAAAAACAGTTGTCAAATATCTAAATAGAGAATACTTATTCGTGTTAATTCCACCCTTTCATTTTTTCCTCAGTTACCTTGTTCTGCAGAGTACATTGGCGAGATATGTTATGGAACAAACAGATCAACAACTTGTGTGGTTTTTTCTCTCCATGATTATTAAAAAATCTGATGATTTTGGAATCCTGAATTATGGGTTTAAGAGAAAAGATCAACCTTGCTGATGTCCTCTTTTACTAATAGACAGGGCAGTCTACAATAGAAAAGTTTGTGTTTGCTTTTTCTTTTTCGAAAACAATGAGGATTCTGCATTCAGAAGGCACTTCAGTAGGTAGATTTCAGCATAAATGGAAAAGCAAAGTTGATCATTCTTAAACCCCGGTAGGTCAGATCATGTCAGTGTTTCCAGAGTACGCCCAGAATGGTAAAAGTTGGCTTTAAGCTGAGTTTTTGCTAAAAGGCAGCCAGTCCTGAAAAGGATTGCTTTATTTATTTTGGCCTCGGCAACATCTAAATTATGATAAGTGCAAGTTTCTCTTAGCTTTCTGGAGAGGCTCCCATGTAAATTGGTTGTGACCCCTAGAATCCAGAATCTCTAACATAGTTGGATAGAATATTTTGTGGGGAAATCTAATGTAACAAGTAAAGATTCAAAATTTTAAATGTTCAGAAGTGTGTAATTTGCTGCTTTTGTTCATGAGTGTTTTTAATACTTCTGGTAGAGAGCCTAACTGCCTCTTTCCTAGGGAGATGTGGTTTCAGTTTCTTGGGTGAATGTGCATTTTATAAGTTTTTAAAGAAAGGAAATTAAACATTAAAAGACTTTAAGTACTTTACTCTTTATATAATGTCACTAAGAAAAAGCCAGGAAAATCAGGGTTGGGTTTATTTATTTATTTATTTAATAAATATAATCTATTTTCCACCATTTTGTTTGTTATGGCTGGTACCAAAGTACTTTTAAAAGTTAACATTTATTATGATTTTGGTTTATTTCAGCAGATGTGCATAATAAATTAACCTATCTTTTCTTTGTTTTGGGCTGGGGCAGCATTTAACATCTAGTTTTTTGGCATTTTGACACACAGGCGATTTAGTTTAATTCAACACTTATATAATATTTAGTATGTGAATAATGTTAAGTAGATAAAATGTGGTCTGCTGAGGCTAAGTGTTCAGTCTAAATATAATACAGATATGTGACAGGTCACCTAACCACTGGGAACCTGGGGTTCTTCTGTAAAGTGGGTATTTTGGGGTAATTGGTATCCAAGCATCTTTCTAGATCTGAATTTTAAAATCCCATGAATTGATATGCATCTAGTTTATGCCTTCTCTTCTCTCTTTTTTTCTCTTTTTAATATAGGAAAAGAGGATGGTGATGCACCAGTTACAAATGATGAGACCACCTGCATTTCACAAGACACAAGAGCTTTACCAGAGAAATCCCTGCAAAGATCAGCAAAGGTCATTGCCTACATATTTTCTCCATGTGTCCAAATGGCTTTCACCTGAGCTACTTGTTGAAGATCTCCTGTGATTCAGTCAGGACTGTAGTTGGTCAGTTAATCAGAAAAGTTAGTGAGAGCAGAGAATCATAAAAAGTGAATTAAAAAAAAAAAAAACTTTAAACATATAAATACAAATTCATCTGTCTGCCTTTGGATAAGGGATAAAAGCCTTTTCTTTGAATGTGGGTATGTTGATTGGAGTTCTGTGTTACCTTTCTTGCTTAAACCACATTTGTAATGCAGCATTTATCACTTCCAGTTTTGGTAGAGTGAGAATTTAGACACTGGAGAAGCAGTATGAATATAGACTCTCTTCAGATTTATGTAGTTTTGCTCCAATTTTTTTTCATCGTTACCATGCCCATACCTAATTAAAAAATAATTTTTAATGTCTTTTTTAGTTTTTCCAAAGTATTCAATTTAGTTACAGAAACAATTGTTTTTATATTCTTATTTCACTGTTTTGCACAATTCACTTGTATTCTTTAATTATATAAGCTAGTGCAATTTTCGGATGTGGGATGAAACACAGCTGACTTCTTTTTTTTTTGAGACAGAGTTTCGCTGTTTTTGCCCAAGCTAGAGTGCAATGGCGCGATCTTAGCTCACTGCAACCTCTGCCTGCTGGGTTGAAGCAATTCTGCTTCAGCCTCCCAGATAGCTGGGATTACAAGTATGCACCACCATACCTGGCTCATTTTTTAAATTTTTGGTAGAAACAGCATTTCACCATGTTGGCCATGTGAACTCCTGACCTTGTGATTCACCTGCTTCGGCCTCCCAAAGTGCTGGGATTATAAGTGTGAGCCACCGTGCCTGGCCAAACACAGCTGACTTCTAACTGTGCAAATAACTCATAGTAGCAGAAATGGAGCAAGGGCAAAGTATAAAGTGGCACAATGGCATAAGGCTTTATGTTCCAGAGACCTCCATCAGTGTGTTTCATCTGGGAATACAGTGTGCTTACTCCACCCAGCAAGTTGGTTAATAGAGTATTTCTCCTGCGTACTGACATGAGGAATTTCTAAATTATACTTTGTATATTTGAATACTAACTGTGCTCCAGGCAGCATGCTAGGTGTGGGAGATTAGAATGAATGAAAAGCCTGGGGATGGATCTGGCTCACAGACCTGTTTTGTTTGACGTGTGTAGTATTTAAAAATTTTGATTTTATGGCTTTCATCAAAAAAAGAGTTGGCGGTGGGTGGGGGTGGGGATGTTCACATTAAAAATTAGACTTTTGGCTTCTCCTGTCAAAACAAAGCATTTAGTAACACGGGCCAAATTCCTAAATCACTTTAGTCAAAGCTGAGTAGAGGCAACCCTCTCTCTATGGAACCTGTGTTCTGTGATTTGCTACTGCCCTCCGAACATGTTTTCCCTCTCCCTCCTCCCTATCTCCCTTTCTTTTGGATAATGTTTTTTAATGGGTTCAACCTAAAATTGCAAGGCAAAACAGCACTTGGCTACAAAGCTTATGCTATGGTAGAGTCATTTCCATGACAATTAACATTATATGAATTGCAAGTAATGTAGTAATGTCAGCTTACTTTATACAATTCCATGCTGTCAAACATTAAAACAAGAAGCAAGAATGTCCAGTTCAGATAAGATGGGATAGACCTTTTTTTTTCTTGCTCCTCTCACTGAGTATAACTGTAAACCCTAGAAAAAAGAAGAGGCAACTAAAGGAGAATTCTGAAAGGTGAAGAGAGGAAGGTGAACTAGTTACGCCAGTACTAGAGAAACATAATGACAGCAGGGACCTCACAACCCCCAACCAATAACAGCAGCAACAGAAGGGGTCCCAGGCCCAGTTTCTGAATGCCAACCTAGCAATAGAGGGTGGCCCAGCTAGACTCATTCTTACTCACTCAGATCTGACAGAAATCCTTCCAGCAATACCAGGGAATCCCAACAGCACCTTTAAAGAGCCCTAATGATAGTAGGGGATTGGCTTTCCTTCCTCCCTGGACCTGCAACTTTTCTTTCCCACCAGGAGACATCAGGTATCTGAGTGACTCCAACAAGAAGGATTCTAGAAGTGGCCCAGCCCAGGAAGGCTATTCCTATGAGGCTGAGACTGTCATCTTCTCAGAGGCACTGAACATCCAGAAACACTGGATATCTACCTAGAAAACACCAGGAAAGGGGATCTGGCCACAACTAGCAGTCAAGTATGGGAAGCCCCCTTATCTCACAGGCAAGAGATCTTCCCTCCCTCACCCAGAGACACCAGCAGCCAAGTGGCATTAGCAAGGGAGATCTGGTCATAATGGGTGTGTGGTCCAGGAAGCCTCTTTATCCTTATGGGCCAGAGACTTCCCTCTCCCACTCAGAAACACTGGGCAACGAGGAAGCACCAGTAAAAGAGACCTACCACAACAAGAAACCGCAAATGGGAAGCCTCTTTGTCCTTGCAGGCTGGAGATTCCCATTCCATACTTAAACTTGGGGAATTTCCTTCCACTTACATAGGCAGTGCCAGTAGAGACCAGCAGGAGCCCCAGTGATATCATATAAACCAAACATACCAAGATAGCACTGCAAAGGCTATTTTCCAAGGAAATTGTCATCGAAACGACAGCCCACAAAAGTAGGTCCGGACCTGCATGCTAAACCTCTAAAGAGTATGTGACTGCCTTCTAAAATAAAAGATTTAAATGAGACCCAGAGTGTCTTAACATGATAACCAAAAGGTCTATTATACAATTGGAAACCACCCATCGTACCAAGATCCAGGAAGATTACATGAGTGAGAAGACAATCACCTGATGCCAACATTGAGTTCTTGCAGTTATCTAACAATGATTTCAAAGCAGCCATCGTAAAAGTGCTTCAATAAGCAAGTGCTTCATAAGATTTAGAAATTATAAAAAAGCCGGGCATGGTGGCTTACGCCTGTAATCCCAGAACTTTGGGAAGCCGAGGTGGGAGGATCACCTGAGGTCAGGATTTCGAGACCAGTCTGGCCAACATGGCGAAACCCCATCTTTACTAAAAAAAAATACAAAAATTGGCCGGGCGCGGTGGCTCAAGCCTGTAATCTCAGCACTTTGGGAGGCCGAGGCGGGTGGATCACGAGGTCAAGAGATCGAGACCATCCTGGTCAACATGGTGAAACCCCGTCTCTACTAAAAATACAAAAAAAAAATTAGCTGGGCATGGTGGTGCGTGCCTGTAATCCCAGCTACTCAGGAGGCTGAGGCAGGAGAATTGCCTGAACCCAGGAGGCGGAGGTTGCGGTGAGCCGAGATCGTGCCATTGCACTCCAACCTGGGTAACATGAGTGAAACCCCGTCTCAAAAAAAAAAAAAAAAAATTACCTGGGTGTGGTGGCACATGCCTGTAGTCCCAGCTACTCAGGAGGCTGAGACAGGAGAATTGCCTCAACCCAGGAGGCTGAGGTTGCAGTGAGCTGAGATTGTGCCACTGTATTCTAGCCTGGGTGACAAAGCAAGACTGTCTCAAAAAAATTTAAAAAAAAATTAAAAAAAGAAAAATTATAAAAAGGACCAAATGGGAATTATGGTATTGAAAAGCATAATAACAAATAAAAACACCATTGGATGGACTCAGTAGTAGAGATGACACAGCAGAGAACCAGCAAACTTTAGGACAGATCAGTAGAATTTACCCAATCTGGACAAAGAGATTATAGACTGTAAATAATTGAACAGAGCCTCAGGGAGCTGTGGGATAACAAAAAGATTGAACATTCAGACAACTGGAGCCCCAGAGAGGATCAAGAGAGTGAAGATGAAAGGAGAGATTGTGCAGAATGGGGACAGGTGAAAATACATCTTCAGAGAATTTACAGTTCTAGCAAAAGTTGTATAACAATGTATAATGCTATCCATCTGTACAATTGTAATTTCTTTTCTGATCAACTCTATACCTTGCGTTTAAGGTTAGAGAATACCAGTGACTGAAATGTTCCAGGACTGAGGGTTTTTAGGGTGGAGTTAGTGGAAGGACCAGATGATAGGGGATTTGACAGCTTGGGTAAGAGGACTTGAGGTGATAGAATATGGTGGCTCAGGGCTGGGTGTGGTGGCTCACGCCTGTAATCTCAGCACTCTGGCAGGCCGAGGCAGGCAGATCACTTGAGGTCAGGAGTTTGAGACCAGCCTAGACAACATAGTGAAACCCTATCTCTACTAAATAAACAAAAATTAGCCAGGCGTGGCGACTGGTGACGCATGCCTGTGATCCGAGATACTCAGGAGGCTGAGGCAGGAGGATTGCTTGAACTTGGGAGGCAGAGGTTGCAGTGAGCCAAGATCACACCACTGCACTTCATCCTGGGTAACAGAGTGAGACTTTTTCCCAAAAAAAAAAAAAAAAAAAAAAGTGTGTGTGTGTGTGTGTGTGTGTGTGTGTGTGTGTGTGTGCGTGCATACATACATATATATATGATGGCTCTGAGAAGGGAGGAAAGGATTCGAGACTTAGACATAGCTAACAGACTTGCAGAACAGGCAAAGGTTAAAGGTGCTAGAAGTCTTGATGTGAAAAAGCCTGTGGAATGCAGCACTGGAGAGCAAGAGAGCTGTGTGATGGATTAGTCTGAGAGGGGGTGTTGGGATTGAACTGGTACCAGATGATGCTGAGGTGTAGCCATGAGGATGAGTTGCTGAAATCAAATAGAAGTGAAGGCCACTGGTGTTGAAGAGAAGGGAACAATGAGGACAGGATGTTGACTGTGTCACTCACCTGGATGGACGTAGGAGAGGCAGACTGTAAGCCAGGTTTCACAGAGTAACCAGGAGGCCAGGAGATGACAATAACAGGAATGGGGCCACCTGAACCAGAAGAGGGTGCACATACATGCATGAGGCTAGAAGAGTAAAGGTCTGGATGTGGCAGTGCAGCATGGGAAAACACGGACACCCATTTCAGGGGCCGTATATGGGAAAAGGAGATCCTCTTCACAAATGGGATGGGGAGACAATCCTTAGGACAGATAGTTACATGCAAGGGGGATCCCACAGCCTTCTCGAAAGAGGGCACAGCAGCTTGTTTAAAATAGATGTTTTTTCAAGGAGGAAGGAAGAGTTAAGAGAAAGAAAGTAGAGCATACTTTGGGCTGGCATGAGGAGACAGGTGCCGTAAGGTGCTTTCCTGTGGGGTAGTAGCTGGGAGTGACTGGGGGAGAGGTGTGGCGCACCCAACTGGTTTGGATATTTTCTGCAGACAGGCTGAGATTCTACATGGAGTCAGGGACATACAGAAGAGCAGTAGTCAGCTCAACTGCAGGCTGAATCTTTGCCCAGGGGTCTGGTGGGACAAGACTGCAGACTGTCTACAATGGGGAAAGGAGGCAATGCAGGAAGTTCCAAGGCTGGGTGAGGGAGAATATTCACTTTCTCAGAGAATACTTCTCTCTTGATGGAAATAGCATGTGTATGTGGTGGAGTGGTGGCCTCAATCTTCACCTAGTAAAATTAGAACTTGGGTTTAATCTTGGAAAGAAGGAAGATAAAATATCTCTCCTTTCAGCTGTTGAAGACATAATTAAGTAATTTATGTCTAATAACCCTTTGTCTTTTACAAAAAGCACCTACCATGTTGTTTGTGTGAGATACTAATATTGTTCATGTGAGAAAAATATAACGTGGAACAAATACCTGGAGGTATACTTCCCTGCTGGAGTCCAACATGTCTTTATAAGACACAGGTCATAGTAATAAAAGTGCTTTGATTTAATTCATCCGTGTATTGCCTAATTTTTCTTGGGTATATGTGCTTACTAGACACTTGTTGCATCTTAAATATAGATTACTTAGTCACAGATCATCACTGAGAGAGGCATTTATTTTGACCTAGAAAAACTGACTTACTTTGACCTGGAAAAACTGCTAGTCCCTGCTAGTTGATCAAATTATATCCTGCTGACCTCTCCCCGAAGTGTAATTCAGTCTGATAAACAATACTGACTATATCTTTGGTGTTTTTAGGTGGTTTACATCTTGGAGAAAAAACATTCTCGAGCAGCAACTGGCTTCCTCAAACTCTTGGCTGATAAGAACAGCGAACTGTTTAGGAAATACGCCCTGTTTTCTCCCTCAGACCACCGAGTGCCTAGAATTTATGTGCCTCTCAAGGACTGTCCCCACGACTTTGTGGCACGGCCTAAAGATTATGCCAACACACTGTTCATCTGCCGCATTGTGGACTGGAAGGAGGACTGCAATTTTGCTCTGGGGTAGGTGATCTCTGGTAGGAAAACCACAGGTCACAGGCAGAATTCAGTGTAGATGGCCTTTAGGTAAACTTTTGGTGTATTTTAATTATTATTTCTTGATTGAAGCATGTTTTCTGGTGTTATTTTGGTCCTGATTCTTCAGAAGTCACTTTTAGCTGCCACCTCAACTGGTTGCCTGTATGTTCCTTGAATTACCAGGCAGTCATGTTCTTGTTTTTGGTTTTTGGCATAAAACATAAGCCATTCTAAGCCTCTACTTATTTAGTTATGTCATGTGTCCTATTTGTACTTGTGTTACCACAGATAATTCATTGCATCAAACAACCAGTCCTCTCCTTGCAGAAACTTGTGTTAAACTATGCAAAGTCTAGGAGTATTCAGGAGACCCCAGGCTCCTTTGCTTTAAAATATGAACATGAAGGCATATTTGAATGGTATTCTTTTTTGGTATTGATCTTCAAAGATTTCGCCTATGGCATTAAAAACTACCCTATTGTAAGAAGGAAAAAGGTACCATGCTTCTGTGGAAGCTATCAGAAATCAATCTAACTTAAATATATACATGACATGATCCAGACCATCATGGATGGCCACTTCATTTTGAACTGAAGAAATGACTGGACCCAGTTGTTTCACCAAATGCTATGCCTATTTTCTTCCTAGAACTGGTATTCATTTTGAAAGAAAAGCAGTAAGTTTTAGCTATGTCATTGAGTATTACAGATGATGTCTGGTTTATGTTTCACAGGAAATGACTATAAAGGTATACAATCTAGAAAAGAGCCTGTTGATTTACTTTTAGTCTAATTTAATGACTTGATTGTTGGTTATCTAACTTGTACAGGATGCACCCTTCTGGGAATGTCCTATAGTTAGGAGAGTTAGCACCGAATGGATTGCTACAATGTCCTGCTTTTATCAGGTTTATTCTATACTTAGGTTCTTATACCTGGCAAAATAAGCCAAATCAAATGTGTGTGTCATATATAAGTGTTTCATATATAAGAAACATTACCCTGTGCCACTTTTTCAGTTACATGAAGATTGGTGTGATTTATATGATCTCATAGCTACTTAGGAACAGTTTTACTCTCAAGTGGTAGGATTGCAATGTCATCATTTTTAAGCCTAACTCGTTATCCAAAAGTGACGTCAACCCCTTGAGCTGTAAATAGTCCTTCTTACAAGCTTGCCAGTTTCTCACCATCAAATCAAAAGGCCCAGTAATGACTGTGCCACCTGGTCCCTGTTGATTGTGCAGCCACATTCTGGCAGTGAAAAAGGAAAACTTTCACATCAAACCAGGAAATCCAGCCTTGTCTTTTATCTGCCTTTCTGTAGTATCCCATTGTGCGTCTTTGATTGGACTACTTCCTTAGTTTTCAAGTTATAAGAGTGTAGTCAGGAAATCTTCATAGTGTGAGTTTCTCTTATTACTTTCATGGCCTTATCAGTCTTTTTAAAATTTTTATTTTTTACAGTTAAGCCATTACTTCCTCAGGATCCCTTTTCTTAAAGTTCAAATACAACAAAAAGGGAGTCAGGTCTTTGAAGCAGCAATCACATTTGCTGGATCTAAAGAAATAATATTTAAAAATGATAGTCACATATTAATCATATAATTTTCAAAATAAAAAATGAAAATCATATATAGATAGAAACATGATGCTTTTTCTCTACTTTCTTAATATAAGGATATAAAAATTGTCATCTATGGAAATGTGCCTTTTAAAATCTTTGTGAAAAAGAGAAAATTTATTTTAAGAAACAAAATATGGCAGGTTTTCCTGATGAAGTTCTAGATGACGTCCGTTGTATGAGGGGTGAAGCTGCAGCTGTTGCGTATGTTGGTGGTCGCCTTGTCATTTTGTTCTGGTTATCTGTTACTGATCTTTAAGAACTGAGGTCACCGTTTCTTAATCAGAACATGCTGTGCTATGACTGCCTAGGCTTTCTCCCTTATCTTTGCCAGGCCTTGACCAGGAGTGTGACAGTAATACCTGTTGTGAGTGTGAAAGTGTATGGTTAGCTTCCACATTAACTTTCCCTAAAAATCAAGTTTAGCTAAGGTGACTTCCTTCTGAATTTTTTCCCTACTCCTAAACCTCTGCCCTTAAAAGTATTAGACTTCTTTGCCTATGTAATTGATTCTAATTATTCAAGTTCAAAGTCATTTACCTCTTCTGTAGATAAAGCTAGTTCACCAGACATGTTTTGATCCAACTATGTGTAAAGTACTATGTTATATTATCTGAGAAATATGAAGGTAAACAAGCTATGGATTCTTTATTTAAGGAACTTATGGTCTACTGCATAAGGATTTTTGTATATGTATACATCATAGGGATAATTTGATTCTAAGAAGTGGAATCCCACTTCAGCTAATTTAAATAAAAGTAGAGATTAATATAAGAAACTGGTGATTTTTATAAAAACCAGGGGAGGAAATGGAGAAAGTCTCATGAGAAAATCAGAACTAACCAGGCAACAGAGGAACCACAGTTTCTCTTTCACCCCTGTGACTAGCCAAGCCACCGCACAGTATCTTTTCTTTACCGCTTTTTACATGTGAGCTTCTGTTTCTCTCTTCATAGTAGTCTACCTGCTCAACAGCATACATGACCCCAAAATGGCACTGCCAGTCCTATGGCAGTTACATACTAAAGTCTAGATTATAGTACAGAATTTCTATGGTGAAAAATCTTTTTGGTCTACCTTGAGGCAGGTATTTTCTCTGGCCAATAGTTTCAAGCAGAGGTAGGGGTCCAGAGTCCTATGCCTCACACCCAATTAGCAGCACTGTGGGACTCTCTGGGAAAGATTGTGGATAAAACAGATGACTTGAATGGCTTATCTCTTTGAGTTCTACCTATAGTACGAAGAGAATGTTGTAAGTTCTTCCATAGGAATAAAATAACTTGGGGGGATTTAGAGAGGCGGTAGGTGAAGGGTTAAATCCAGGATCAATTTCTTAAAGGACCCAGGCCTCCTTGCTAAAAGATCACTTTGACTGAGAGTAAAGAATAGATGAGAAGGGACATGCCTGGCAGCAGGGGGTCATAATACACTGTTGCAGTAAGACAGATGAGATGGGAGAACCTGAAATAAAGAGTTGCAAAGGAAACAAAAGAAATGAAAAGATTCAGGGGAGATTAAGAAGGTAAGTTCTCCCAGATGTGATGACTGATTAGAAGTGGGGCATGAGGAAGAAGGATGGAATCTTGGATGAAGTTTCAGGGCTCTAACTAGGGGGAATGGGTGGACGCTGATGACATTTAACCACAATTCATTGGGAGCAGTCTCAGCTCCTTCCATGGTCTTCGCTATCAGAAATCAAACTTGCCATTTCCTGGGCTGACTGTGTATGTTCATAGTTCCAAACTTTTGCACATTACACTTCTTTTCCTAGCAGTGGCTTTCTCCTTTTTCTAGTGTTTGCCTGGTTGAAATACTCAACTTTTAAACTTAATTCAGTTGTCCACTCAAAAAATGTTCTCTGACTTATAGGCCTTTCTTCTCGTGCTCTCATAGCTTCTATTAGTACTATTATTATAGCTCTCATCTGTTTGGATTGCAATTGCTTATTTGTTTTACTTGGCCATGAGCTCCTTTAGGACAAGGACACGTGATGAACATTTGCTGGCTGGTCAGATGAGTAGATGGAAATGAATTGATGACCCCAACGTCTTGAGCCAGGTTGACTAGGAAGATGTTGCACCATGAATCAAGCTAGAAAACACACAAGGAGTAATTTGGAACAGAAAATGATGAGAACTAAGGTTGTATAACTTCAAAATGAATACTTGACAATGGTATACAACAAGTAGAAAAACTCAGGTGGAGAATGCCAAATTGAGAAGGCACAGATATTTAACAAAAAGATTGACTAGAATGTACACATTAATAGAATATATGATGTTAGTAGCTTTGGAAGGATCCTTAGGGAGGACATTGGCTTGGCCTCCCCTTTGCTGTAAACATTGTTTCTCTGACACCCTAGTGTTGCCTTGGGGCCACCATTTAGGGGCAGCTCAAAGAGTATTACAACATTGGAGACTTCCAGTTGTTATAAAGTTATTTTCTATCTTGTTCTTGGAATTGTCATGAGAGATCTCGGTTGAACCTTGTTCATCTCCCTATACATCACATCTACCACATTTTTATGAATCTTAGTTCTGTAATGCTATCAAAACCCAGGTGAGCCCTTGCTAGCTTTTAGGGAATCACTGCTTTTTGTTATACATCACAACATGTTTAGTACCTTTAATATTTAGTACTAGACTCTAGTCCAGGATAATTAAAAAGCCACATTGGCTTCCTTGCTGGAATGATTTGCAATTATATAATCAGATTTACAGTTTGAAGAGCTTCCCAACCCTCCTAAATCATCTTTCCATTTAGAAACTCTTGCAGTGCAATTCATGCCTATATTTTCTCAGACCTTTGTGAAATCTGGTATCCTAAAGTCTAGAGTTTACAGTTCCAGCTTCTCTTTCAGGATGTTATGGGCATAGAGATATCATGGTCACTTTCTCCCAGATTTGTCATGGTTTCTTCTTGAATATTTAAGAGTAAATCTTGAATAAAATGGAAAAGTTTTACAGCAGCTACTGTGAGGAACTTAATAGTGTTTCTTGGCAACACTGAAGGCTAGCTGAAGACATATGACATGAACTGACCTAGAGCAAATTGACATATTTATATTATTTTATCAAGCAAAGTCTGGTGGCTTTGCGGGATGGAGGAGGAAGAAGGAAATGAATAGGTTAGTACAGGCTAAGAAGTTATTGGTTGAACATGGGATTGCCTAGGCTTAATGGGAGGCTGTGGAAATGAGAAACAGAGAATGGGTCACAGTGCTGCTGTCTTTAATGAGCGTGAAGGACAGCAGGTTCCATTGGAGTGGATGACGGAGTGAGGTGAAAGTAGAGGAAGGGAAATTCTGACCATGGAGGCCTGTGGGAGGGATGGGAAGTAGGGAGTGGGAGTCCGTTCTGGTA